TTGTTGTTGTTAAGGGCCGTCAAGGTTTTTCCGACTCATAGAGTTTTTCCGACCCTGTATAGAGTTTCTGAGGAGCGACTGGGATGATTTTGACCTTGTGGTTCAGGACTCCTCAGGGGAGGGTTAGAGAGACGAAAACGGTCTTCAGAAGTGTATAGAAGTAGAAGGCGGATATATTAAGAAACAAGAGTTTCACATTTTGATATTTTTGTTTAATACATTTTTTTTAATTTAATATTTTTTAATAAAAGGGTTGCTTTTGTAGCAACACTTTTTTCTTACGCTCATATTTTATGATTGTTGAGAATATATATACAGCAGAGTAAATACCAAAACAGACACACTAATTCAAGTTTCTGTACTTCCACTCCATTTAGCAATACTGATTACATTCTTTGAGTTATACAATCATTAACGTCCATTCAATGCCTCCTAAGCTTCCCACCTAGCCTCTGAGGTTCTCTTTTAAATTTTAAGAAGTTTACTCAAGGAGAAGCGAGCCAGAAAGGCACTACAATTTATTTGAATGCTTTCCCCGTCGCCCTGGATGATGTTGTTAAGTGCTTGGTGGAGTCTGTTGTTCTGACTCACAGTGACCCTATATAGGGTTTCTTTGGCTGTAAATCTTTGTGGGAGTAGATAGACTTGTTCAAAGTCCAGTGCTTATCCTTCATGGGTGACTTGTTGTTGTTGTTAAGTGCCGTTGAGTCGGTTCCGATCCATAGCGACCCTGTACAGGGTTTCCGAGGTTGTAAATCTTTACGGGAGCAGAAAGCCTCATCTTTCTCCCGTGGAGCGGCTGGTAGCTTTGAACCGCTGACCTTAAGGTTCACAGCCTGATTCGTAACCACTACGCTACCAGAGCTCCTTTCATGGGTGACTATGGGCCATTAATAAAACAAAACAACCAAGACTAAAACTCGATGGGAATACACGAGAACAGACATGCACTCTGATTGGTGACCACATTCGTCACCGATAAGGGGAAGTGAGGGAAAAACAGCAACGAAGCTGCGAGCTAAGCCCTACAATGT